TATTAAATTGATGTAAACTTTGTTGTTAGAGTCAGGTAAGTAATTTTCGAATTTTGTTAATGTTGTTGGGTGATTGTGAATTACAAGTCAAAGTCGGAACTCGAAGATATGAGTAGTTTTATGAAAAGAATTGGAGTTTTGGTGTTTGAAAACTGAATTTTTGGCAAATTAATGTGTTTTTCGAATTATAAGAAGAATGAGGTTTTGGAATGATAAGAAAAGTGATTCTTCGGGATGGGAAAAGCAGAAAAAACTGATTCTGCAAGTGGAGTAACTGGTTGCCCTATAAAACAGAGACGTGAAGGGACTGGTTTTTGTATTGACAGAAATAGTAGAATTTTTCAGTGTCACGTTAAGGAAATCGATTTCTATTTTGGAGGTAATCGATTTCCTGCACAAAAAATTGCCAAACGTAGCTACTGAAAGTCGAGGAAATCGATTTCCAATTTTGAGTTAATCGATTTCATTAGCGAATTTTGCAAGGCGTGGCTACTGGAAGTTGAGGAAACTGATTACGAGTTTGGAGGTAATCGATTTCCTGAGACAGACAGACTTTTTCAAAATTTATAAAATTTGTAACTTGAGTTCTGGACGTCCGATTCGATCCTCGTTCAATACGTTAGAAAGATAACATAATGAACTTTATGTTAAAAATGGTTCTAGTACCTTGAACTGATTTAATTGTCAAGTTGTGATGTTGAATGAGGAGTGGAGCTTGCTTTTGATCTTGTCCTTTGTATCATATATGTTTCTATGGCACCATATAGGGTGTAAGCTTCAGAGTGGGGTGGATTGAAGAAACAATTAAGAGATTTGTTGGAAAAGAAACTTGTAAGACCAAGTGTATCACTTGGGAAGCTCCAGTGTTATTAGTTAAGAAAGATGAAAGTAGTACGAGATTGTGTGTGGATTTCCAAAATTTTGGTTTCGCATAGTAAGAATCACTAGTATATTTTATATCATGTGAGTATCCATATGTAAAGTGTGAGTATAAAGGTGTGTGTTTTATAACTATATCATCAACTTTATTTGGTTGATATGATTCTTCTCCTCTTGGTTTCACATATCCTACACCTTTTGTTCTGTTTCTGTTAACTCCATAGATCATTGAAGCCATCTTGTTTCTATCTATGTTTTTAGCTAGAAATTTTTGAAAGTTGTGATCATATTCTTTTATGATGTTATCAGAACTATTCGAAACTTATGAAATAGTTTCTTTCTGAGTTTTTTGTAATTCATTTTTAAGTTTAAAATGAATTTCGTTTAGCTCAGAGTTTTCTGTTTTTTGTTTCCTAGTTTCTTTAGTTTTAGATACAAGAGCGCGTTTCTGGTTCTTGTATTTGACTCGAAGTTGCTGATATCTTTCAAGAATTTCAGACAGACTTTCTTCTAATTGAGATCTAGAGAATTTTGAAAATACCTCTTCTGAATCTGATTCAGATTCTGATGTATCCATGTCTTCTGATATATTGGCCATTAAAGCTATATTGGCTCGTTCATCTTCTGATTCTGTTTCAGCTTTAGAAGATTCTGAGTCATCCCACGTTTCCATAAGACTTTTCTTCTTTTCTTTGGAGAACTTCTTCTTAGGCTTTTCTTTTTGAAGATTTGGACAATCGCTTTTGTAGTGACCTGACTCTTTGCATTCATAGCATACAAAATCTTTGTTGCTAGATTTTATGCATCAAAAGGACGATTCAAAGTGATTTCCTGTTCTTATGGGGTTTCTAAATTTCCTCTGTCTGTGCTTCCATAGTTCGTCTTCTTCTGACGAGGATCGACCCGAGTTTTCTTATTTTTCCAGAAAAGCTTTAGTTTCATATTTTTAGTGGATTTAAGAGAAAGATACCTACCTTCCTTCTGGGTTCATCTTCTTCTAGTTCTATCTCATGACTTCTCAAAGAGCTGATTAGTTCTTCAAAGATATTTTGTTTAGATCTTTGGCTAGTTTTAAAGTTGTGACCATGGGTCTCTATTTCTTGGGTAAGCTTCTGATGATTTTCTTTACATGATTTGTTGTTGAGTATCCTTTGTTCAGAACTTTTAGCCTAGCAACCAAAATTTGAAACCTTGAGAAGATTGTCTCAAATATTTCATCTTTTTCCATTTTGAAGGCCTCATACTTCCGAATGAGTCCAAGAGCTTTGATCTCTTTGACTTGTGTGTTGCTTTCATGCGCCATTCTCAGAGAGTCAAACATGTTCTTAGCTGATTCTCTATTCATGATCTTCTCATACTCTACACGAGATAACACTCAAGAGGATTATTCTGGCCTTGTGATGATTTCTAAATTCTTTCTTTTGTTGATCTATCATTTTCTTTCTGTCAACCTTCTGACCGCTTTTATCAACTGGATAAATGTAGCCATCAGTTACCATATCCCAGAGATCAGCGTCATGAGCTAGAAATAAACTTTTGATTATGTCTTTCCAGTAATCTAAGTTCTCACCATTAAAGATTGGAGGTTTGCCGTTGATTCTGTCTTTATCATCATAATTATCATTGTTGTTGATCTGACTTGGTCCCACCATAGTGTTTTTCTTGCTAGGATCTTTTTCTGACACGGTTAAGTGTTAACACCTAGAACCAGACGCTTTGATACCAATTGAAGGATAGAAAAAGACAAGAAAAAGGATTTGAATTGAAGTTTTCAAAAATTAAAACAGTAAGACACGTTTGGTTATCCTGGTTCGTTTGAACTCAAAATACTCCAGTCTACCTGCCAAGGTGATTTTGCCTCTCCCAAACAAGGTCTTAATCCACTAATCAAAAACTTTGATTACACAAACACAATGACTACCATCAATGTCTTCTTAAGACTAAACCACAACTTGGTTTCTCAAGGTATTACAAAATATAAAATCAAAACTATGTACAAAGGTGTTTCTCGAGAAACTATAGCACAACCATGATTTATACACAAGATTAAAGCACAAGAGAGAGCTAGAGAAGATATATCTTTGTATGCGCAAAAGTTGTTCTTTGATTCTTCTTCAAAACTCTTTTATATAGGCGAGGCATATGAGACATGAGAAGCTGAATTTGGAAGGTTGATAAAGTGTTATTAACGCATTTTCCAAAAAATACAGATCTTGTTTTGTTCCATCCGTTACTCTTTGATTTGTAATGAATGAATTGTAACGCATCAAAACTTTGCTTCTTTGAGATCTTATCAAAATGAGAATATTACCGTTGAGATTTTGGATCATCAGAGTTTCTTGATATTCATATGGTTAGAGATTGGATGAGACAGACACATTAAAGCTTCTTTGCACTTTCAGAATATTTACTTATCAGAGTATAGCTTGAGCTTAAGTGTCGAGTCTTTAGAATTTTAGTATAGATGAGTGCGTTTTGTTTTTCCAGAACTTCATTTATCAGAGTATCAAAATTTATCTTACAACTTTGGTGCTTCAGAAGTTATAATATCAGAACTTCTTCTATTTGAGCGTGTTAAACGGATTTGCTTCTAAGTCTGTACACTTCGTCTTATCAGAGCTAAAGTAATTCTCTCATCATCTTCTATGCCTCGTTCATCAAAACTTCTCTGCATATTTAAATATATTATTAGAGAGCATATTTGTTCTTTATATATATCACGTATTTGTTATCATCAAAACTATTACTAAGATGTAGAACAAAATTATGTTATAACAGAATGGTTACCCAAAGGATGGAGAAAGTCTGCTAGATTATCTGGTTCACTGCCACAAAAAGATTTTTGAGGGGCTAATGTGTCCCAGATGCAGTATAATCTATGATCGAAAGGCAGGAAACACTTATGACAAAATTCAATGTGCTCAAACTGGGGGCAATTGGAGGGAAGATGATCAGATGAAAATTATCTATCCAAAAGCTGGGGGAAGTTTGCAGGATTTCCTTGTCCACTGCCACAAAGCAAAATCAGAGTGCCTAATGTGCCCAAGATGCAGTGCGACTTATGATCGAAAAGCATTGTAAACCTTTGAGAGAATCCCATATGCTCGTTGTTGGGACAACCAGAGGGGTCCTAGGAGTCAACACGGGGGCACTATATAAACCCTTACACTTGTGAGGGCCAGGTATCCGATATTCATCCTAAAAACCCTAATTTCTTTGTGCTCCTACTAACTTTAACAATAAAGTGTCTTGCAGGTAGACCCCCTCCTCCTCCATTTTAACATTGAAATCGAAGTCTCTGATCCACTTCAGATTCTGATCAATTGGTAAAATTAGAATTGTCGAAAGAATAATATGTATTTTATTTTTTTAACTCATTTATTTACTATTATATATTTGTTTTTATCAAATTATTTTTAAAAAGTTTTTATAAAAAAAAATACAATTCAAATCTCACTTTCTTGTATGCGTACTAGGTAGTAAAAAAATGCATAAGGATGGTTTGGAAAAAAATATTAAAGGTGAACCTTCATATTAACTCGTGTATCATGTCAATGAAGTTTATTATTAGATAAATAAGAGCACCTTGTTAAAAAAATTACTATATGTATTTTCCTTTTCAAAAGTCTGATAATAGAAATAATCGATTATTATCACAGAAAAGGAATAAAGAAAGATAAGACATACTATAGTCATAAACGAAATCTCAAAACTATCTAATTTAAACTGCTACTAGATTCGTCCATCCATCAATGATAAAAAAAAGCAACTACTAGATATACGCAAAAAAAAAAAAAAATACAAATTTAGCATTTATCCAATATAGAAAAAGAAATAAATAAAAAATCTACCCCAAAAATAGCAATAAGTAAATCAATTGAATGGTTACAAATGAACAAATCCAGATTAGGCGAGCTAAGCTTAATTAGCGGTGAACAATAATTAACATCATCCTAATCTTTCACCTTCTCATTACCATAAGTACCCTCACACTCTCACCAAACACAAACAAACAAACAAAAAAAATTAAAAAACCAAAAAAATATTAGTCTCTGTCGTTTCGTCCCTTCGATCATTAAACCTTAATTTGTGTTTGAGTTATAACCTTAATTATAATCATTATGGGATTTCTTGACAAACTCTGGGACGAAACGTTGGCGGGTCCCTTACCTGAATCGGGTTTGGGTAAACTTCGAAAGTATAACTCTTTCTCTGCAAGCTCCGGTTTCCGATCGCCGCCGGTGAAGGAAGACGTTCCTATCAGTCGTAGCATTATGATTATTAGAACTCATTCTAATTTCGGTAGAGGCACCGTTTCGGAACCTGTTTCTCCTTGTTCTTCTGCACCTACATCCCCTCGCACCCCTTTATCACCACGTAATAATATTCTTCATATTTTCATTGCAAATTCTAATTCAACCCACCAGATTCATTCTTATTCTATTTGTTTCTTATTTCACAGTGGAGACACCAAGAGGCAATTTTAAGAAATTTACGAGAAGGAAATTGCAGATTGATCCAACTGAAAGCTCCGATAATCGAAGTTCGACTATTTCCAATTGGTTATTTATTTTACATTTGAAATTACTCATATCATCTTAAGATTTTTCATGTTTTTTAATGTGTAACTTTTAGAATTGTTTTATGGTTTTTTTTCAGGGTGATTTTATGAGTGCTTTGGATCGTTGTTGAGAGAGAGAAAGGAAGTATAAAATGTTTTGCATTGAACATCGTCATTCGGGATATAAATTATAATTAACATTGATTTTTTAATTTCTAAGTGGAATCATATAGCATGTTATTGCTATTTATATATATTGTATATATTGTGTGTATATAATGTATATTACTATGTGTAATATAGTGTGTGTATAGGCTATAAGTTAGTGGCCAGTGCTTCAAGAGATTCTGAAGGATGAAGGAGTAGTACAAAGAAAGTCACCAGAAGTGTATATATTTTGTATATATGTTTTTTTTCTTTTTTTTTCTTCATTTTTTGAGGTTTTGGGTGGTGACTATTGTAAATATGGATTTTGTACTCTGGAATCTGTGTGGAACTGAATGAAGCTTGAATTTTATTATGTTTTTGTTGATGTTGTTAAACCTCTTTTGCTTAGTAGTGTTCTATGCTGCAATTCAATTGGTTTCAGTTTGTAATGTATGTATATATGGTTTGAATTCTCATAAAAATAAACATGAGATGTGTCTCCCATGGTAGCCTCTTTTGTGTGTGATGTTTATCTCTTTTTAAAATTTTGTTTTTGTTTTTCTACCGTCATCCTTATTTAGTTTTTTTATTTATAAATAGATAATAGTTTTCAAGTTTATTACCACTTTTTTTTCTTTTCAATTTTATTATCAAAGAAGAGTAAATTGCGACTGCCACGGACAATTTACTTTTTTTTTTATAGCAAAGTTGGCAACTATGGCTCTTTATCTTATTTCTGCAATAAATTTATCATTTATATTTATGATTTTTTTTTTTATAAATAATTTGTTGTTATCATCAACGATATATATATTTTAGAAATATCTTACATAATACCGGTATTAATTTTTTTTTGAAAAATATAAACGAAAATCATCCGTATAGTCGATATAGAGACTAATCATTATTAAACGTTCGTCTAAGAGTATGTCACTTAGACATTATTTCCACTCATTAGATGGCTCGTCTCCGATGAAAGACGTGGATGGTGACATGTAAGTAGTTCATAATCACGTGGGAAAGTAGTCGTGACTATGATTCTCTAAGAAGTGTGCAGTCAACAAATCTCATGGTCAAGAGGGAATGAGTGCTATTTTTTAGAGGGTTGAATCCAGACTCATAAGCCTCTATAAATATCTCAACTTTGAGGTTAAGGAGATAAATCTCTTAGGAAACAGATGAACACAACCTATAATTTTTCAGGATTAAATTGTTGTAGAAAACTCTAACTAGGTAAGAATGTATGCTTCATAGTCAGTGACCAAGTCTTCTATTCCTTGAGATTCAAACATCATAGGGAATGTAAAGTTAGAAGAAGGAAAAGAGCTAAGTTTACCATACTTTGGAGTTAATAATTTTTCTCATGAAAGTGAGCCATGAATCAAACTTTTTGTTATGGTGTTGATAGCAATGTTGAGACATCCAATACATTTTGTCTGTTCCTTGAGGGACATGAGGAGGTTCTCTTTTCTTTTGTTTTTCTTTGAGAATTCATGGTGATGTTTTCCGTGAAATTTGGTAAACAAGTGTTAGTCTTCCGAATCTTAAAGATTCTGGTTGCTTACAGGATCGATTAGATTGATCCTAGGACAATAGTGTATATTTTTTTCTAAGTTTTCTAGATGTCAATTTCTTCGATAGAGATTGTTACTTCGGAAGTGTAATAATAAGGTTTAAAATAAAAACTGAAATGTAAATCAATTTCAATTTAAACTTAAAAAGAATGTAAATGAATTTAATTGAAAAGAAATGACATTGAATGTAAAATTGGTGCTTCATACGTACATTCTCAACAACTCGTTTCTCTAACACTTGGTACTTTGAGTTATTTTGGGTAATTTGTACAAAGAAGTAAACACACAGAATTCTAACATAAAAACTCCTATATATACTAATTCGAAACTAATTATCACGAATGGTCTTCTTCTTAGAGGATGTCACGTTCTCGTTTGCATGTCTCTAGCCTTTCGCATGCTTCCACGTATCCTTTATTAAAGATCAAATAAGTGCTAAAATCAGTTATAGCCTTATGTTGAATATTTGTCGAACTCGATTTGAAATATCTTCAAAAAATTTACTAAGTCATTCGCCTTGTATTACTTCATCCATGTAGACTCGGTCGAAATGCATCCTCCATTAACTCATGACGAAATTAGCTTTCATTCTCCCTAAAACTTGTCTTTCCAACTTTCCCTGAATCCCTTATTCATTGAACCGTCGGAATTACAACTAACAAATTGCACCCCAAAAATGTTTCTTTTTGATAACTTTAGAAAATAACATTTTTTTACAAGACTGTTCGACGCTAACTGCCAACATTGTTGTGGCGTCATGGTCATAATGACTACTTTCCAAACGTCTCATCAAGATGTGTGTAGCTGCTAATGATGATTACTCTTATAAACTAGGAGTAAGGTGGTAACTTGTGCAACCGCTTTTTTGTCTTATCAGAAAAATCCACGTGCCCCACTCACTTTGCATTCATCATTCAGACGCAAAACGAAACAGTTTGCTGTCTTCTTATAAATACTAATAATCTTCAACATTTCAACACTTTTACACTTCAAACTTTATTGAAACCGCAACATCCCTCACGTTTCTTCTTCAAACTTCAGCAAAATCTTCAAGCTTTCAAGCTTAGAACTTCAACAATGGTGCCTAAACCAGTAAACACTTCCAATAAACAACAATAAGTTCTTTCTCATCCCATTGTTCAAATCCCTATACCAATACAAATAGGGAACCATGAATACGTCCCAGAGCTTTCCCTTCTAGAAGAGAAAACCAGAATTTACAAATCTCATGTGCTTATACCCTTGAACATTTATGGTGAAACGCACGCATTTATGGGTCCAATGTCTGACCTTGACGCATATGTTGCAACTCTTTCAGAGTTTTTTTTCCTATTTATCATCGCACTAGGACCTTGGCTAGCAAGAAAAAACTTGATGACAAAGGTAAAACTATTCATGCAATCACTCTTTCGCCTAAAAAGGATCAAGCGAAGTCTTCGGCTATCCACAACTCTATTAGTCTAGATTACATTACTAACACCCTTAGGGTATTTCGAGCTACTCCTTTAGAAAATAATCTCGAAGCTTATTATGCTTGGTTAGATAAGATTGAGAAAAATATATCTAATTCTGGAAAGAGACCGAGATTTATGACTTAGTAATAATGTCGAAATCTGGCTTAGAATATTTCCAAAATATGATAGTGGCCTCTCTCTATTTCTGGGATGCTTCCCACAACACCTTCCATTTCCCTTGTGGAATGATGACTCCTACCCTCTTCGACATTAATGTCGTTGCTGGTCTTCGACCAATTGGGGAAAGTTTCGATCCAATGGACATGGAAAAAGATACTATTGAATTTGAAAAGGCTACCTTAACTCCGTATACTGAAGATCATCACATCAAGAATGTCGAAGAGGTTTCAGATGAAGAGCACATTACCTTCTTAGCCTTATGGCTGTCACGCTGCTTTTTTTGTTCGAGATCTCTCCAAGTGGTGAAGAGGTATCTCATCACGGAGAACCAATTGGTTTCTGGACGTAAATTATGCCTTAGCCAAATGATCCTGGGTTCTCTCTACGAATCCCTTGGAGAAGTTGCTGATTATTTGAGGAATTACCAAATAGGGAACAACATCCTCTTTGCATGACCCTTATGGATACTTAAACTATGGTTGATTTCCACCTTTCAACCATCACTCCCAACCTATAACACCATAAATGAGGAAGATGATATTATAAAGAAAGGGACCGTTGAAGTAAGGAGATTATCTTGTTTAATCCCTTGTGAGGAAGGAACACATCTTCCAGACTCATTTACTTCATTTGTGATGATGTTCACTAAACTTTACAATTTCACTCCTTTAATGTATCCTTTCATCAATAGGGCGTGTGGCCGTGAGTGGTTCACCAGATAATTCCCTACTTTGTCTCCAGATCAAGAAGAAGAATCCATGGCTATTTGGGAAGCATTCCTCACTCCTAAACTGCTTGTCAATAGGCTAAGGCCTTCGAAAAGCCATTATTCCCTAGCTAGCTATCAACCCAATCTAGTTTCTCGATAATTTGGCTTGAATCAGATAAAACCTAAGCCACTTTTTAAGAAGAAGAAAAATTTATGCCTCCACAACATGTTTTCTAATGAAGAGGGATACAAAAGGCATCTGGAGCGATATGCTGGAAAAACCAAGATCACGCATATCTTCTTTCGACCACCCTTTTACTGCACACAAGAGTTCGACACTTGGTGGAAGGATTACTATACCAAGGAAATGTTCAATGTGCCTGATTTTGTTGGAAATCCACCAAAACCTATGATGATTTTATATCAATATTGATGAACAAGATTGTTATAACCATACAATGACAATGAAAAGAAGAGAAAATTAAAGAATAAAAGAGATTAGGGTTTCTGCAACGTAACTCTCTGCCCACAAGCTGTGGAAAACTATCTTATTCGCTTGCAACTGCAAATTCTATGAATATTCAATGTGTTATAAAAATAGGGGTTACTCCCTCTATTTATAATGAGCTAGCTTGCTACCTAAGCTAAAATACCCACAATAAAAAAGCCTAAAATAGTAACTTAATCTAATTCGGTTATACTTACTAAAATAGGTCTAGTCAAAATTTTGTCTAGCAAACTGCTTAGACATTTCGACACAACACAACTCGATACACTAAGCTTCGACACAACCTTGTGTCGAGAAACATACTGCTTTTGACACAAGTAATTACACTTTCAATAGATTTTACTAGACATTTAACTAGTGTTTTTTTCCTTCATACAGGATCGGTTCAAAAAAGGTACGACCACTCACATCAAGGAGATTTGTGCATTCCAAAAGTACTTTGAAACTTCGCATAGACTGGATAACCTTAGTCAAACCATCCACGATACAAAAGTAACTTTGAAGTAAAAGTTTATGAAAAAGATTCCCAAT